CTGACAGAGAGCGGAGGTCATGAGGACATGAGCCTCTGTCTCAGGGCACTCAGGTGGCTTTCCCGTCCCTCCCCTGCAGACACCAATGTTCTCCGCTACATCCAGCTGACCCAGCTGAAGATGAACCGTTGCAGCCTCCAGAGGGAAGACAGTGACAGCGGGTCTGGAGGCCCGGCTCGGGATGTCGTGGGCTGAGGTCAAAGGGCAGCCTCTACCTTATTCCCTCCAACGTCGCCAGGCAACTCCCCCTGGCTCATGTGTTTACTGGTAAAGCGCCTGTCACTGGTGTCTCCTTTGTGTGGTGTTAATTGTGGTGGGAACCAAGCAGGGGACCCATGCCCGGGACTCACTTCCTCAGAAATGCAGAGGCCCAGGGAGGAATGGCGGGGTCTAAGGGTGTCCCATTGTGGGCCCAGGTTGGGGAAGCGCACACAGTCAGGCTTGGTAGGGGGCAGGGGTTACCTTTAATGCTGTGTTTTGTGCCAAATTCCCAACAATGTCCTGTCCCTGAGTATCCCTGCCCACCCTCTCCCCACAGCAGGCTGGGCTCAGAGCTCCACCCCCTGGGGTACAAAGGAATAAATTAAGTGTCCTCCCCTCCCCCCTTCCCCAATAAATAGAGTGAGTATCCTGCCCAGGGCCTCCCCCACCTTGGGGTCCAGTGGGCTGTGGCGGAGCCTGGGGCGCTACATTCATGGCTGCCCAGGCGGGTGGTGGTGGGCAGGTCTCAGTGAGAGCCGTAGGCCCCACACAGGGGCACTGTGTTGTCCTGGCTCTGACCCTCCATGTCCATGTCCAGCAGCGTGGGCTGCACACTGGGGGGCCCAGGGCTCTCTGGAGTGTCTGGCCTGCTGGGAGGCGAGATGCTGAGTGTCCGGCCAAAGGAGACCAGTTTCCAGGGGTCCAGACGGGGGCGGCTGGCAGCTGGACGGGGTCGTGGGGCAAAGGTGAGGGTGGTGGGACGGCCAGGGAACTCCAGGGGCCGGCGACGGGTGGGGAACAAGGCCTGAGGGTCGGGAAGTCGAGGGAAGTCAAGGGGGTCTCGAGGACCTAGGAAAAAGGATCACAAGGGTGAGGGCTGGGGTAGAGGGTGCCATTTCTAAGCCAACACGTCCTTGGAAAGTGGTGTTACGGCTTCTCTTGAAAATTTCTCAGCTCTCGCGGTGCTTGTTTCCTAGTAAGGCCACAGCCATTAGGAACTCGGTGCTTGGACCTGGAGTAGGTCCCCAAAGCTTCCAGGGGCTCATTTAACTGGAAGGTGGGCTTTTGAGGTTTTTGCATCAGAGAATGACCTTAAACTCCCCCTGAACCATCTGCCTCCGCTCCCAGAGTGCTGGGGTTTCAGGTGTGTGCAAACACCCAGTTTTATGTGGTGTTGGAAATCCAACCCTGCGTGTTAGGCAACCTCTCTACGAAGGAGCTACATCCCCAGCTCAGTTTTTCCCTCTCTGGGACAGGGTCTCATGTAGCCAAGGCTGGTCTCCAACTGTAAGTAGACCAGGATGACCCCAGTGCTGGGTTCACAGGGGTGTGCTGCCCGCTCATGCCTTCCTCTCTCAAGAGCCATCACAACCCGGGGCAGAGAGTCAAGCTGAGCTCACCACAGCTGCTGTGAA